CCCTGGACAGCTCCAGAACATTATCTGTTGAAAAATGTAGACTCCTGGGCTCTCTGTCAGGACAACAGAATCAGAACCTCTGGTAGGTGTGGTCAGAATCCGAATTGCCAATGACTTCTCTCAAGAGGATTTTTATGCATCTTTCAAGTGAAAAATCACCTAGGAAGACAAGAACTCAAGACAAATGTCTCTATTTTCCTTTTCCCAACATTTTATACAGACTATTTTAGGTCAGAATGATTATTAAGTGCACCCTCAATAGGTCAAAAAAGGTTTTAAAAGGCAGCATCCTAACTGCTTAGAAATAGGTATTTGGCTTTGGTTGGGGAATGAAGGTAAGTGGCAAAGGACAGCTGTGACCTAGTTGAAATCTTTTCTCCTTCTCTCCCCCCAGAAAGTTAACCCCAAGTGCAGGCATTCTGTTTCATCCCTTCCTAAGACTGGCTCTGGGCAGAAAAAAAGAAACTCACAAATTTTCATGATTCAAAATGGATGAACATCATGTGTCCAAGGATGATACCGCTCATCTAGGCATTAGACAAAAAAAAAAAAAAGTCCTAATCTCCTACTTTATAGCAATGATTAAGAGAAAATTGATTCAAAACAGTTTGGAAATGCTGATGGGGGGAGGGAGAGAGAGAGAACTGATGATTTAATAAACCTGGACACATGAAAAGAATTGCATAAATTCTGTGTGGTAGTAAAGGGAGAGAATAAGGACTCTGGTGCCAGAGTGCCTGGGTTCAAATTAGAGCTAGACTGTCACTAATTGGGTGACCTTGACCTTATTTAACATTTTTTTTTGCCCCAGTGCCCTCATCTCTACAATGAGACAACAATATCTACCCTATAAAATTGTTGTGAGGACTAAATGAGTTGCTAGACATGTATGTTTCCAATAGTTAAAAGTGAAAATCTTTTTGTAAATCAAGATGGTCCCAAAAGGTTGCATTGTCTAAACCTTACAGTTTATAAGCCTTAAAGAAGGTTAAATTACGAAATTAGAAAACCTTTCAAATCTAAATCAAGAAGTTCTAAAAAGTCACATTCCCAATATCTTGTTTTATTTGCCAGAATTCTTTGATTGCCCTCTCATACTTTTAAAATCCGGATGGAGGAATTATCAATAATAAAGGGAATGGTAATCTACCTCTCAAATTCCTTCTCTTGCATCTCCAAGTTCTTAATTATAATTGGTTATAATTTGTAGACCTTGATTATTTACCATTGTTAGTTCACAATTGTATACCCACAGTTCTGTGCTTCCATTATTGAAAAAATTCACAAAGAAATGCCAAATTAAAAAAATACTGTTGTCTACCTATACATCCATTGAGTACTAGGTTTCAAAAAAAATGGTTAGTGTCTGAATTCCTTTTCAACATCCTTTAGAGAAAAAAAAGTATAAAACAAAGTAAAAAATTTCTTATAGACAACTTTTTCAAATTTATGAAAAGTTAACAGTCTCCATTTCAGCAACCACCTTTACCAATGAGAAGGTGGATTTTTACTGCCAGAACAGGAAGTCTAAGGTTTATTTATTGCAAGTCCTGGCAAAAAATATTTTCCTGAAGAGAAAGTTCTTAACATGAGATTGATACTTTTTATTGAAACATCCACTTTACACTTCAAAAATCAGATATACAGTATAAAACCATTATCTAATTGGTTCCTCCAACTCTTTTTTTGAGGATCTCTGGTACCAAGTTAATCAAGTTTATAAAAGTCCAAAGGCAATTTTTAGGAAATTATAGCTAATGGTATTCCCACAACTCTGACCAAATTATCAGGTTTATGGTATTATGGAATGATAATCCATTTTGTAATAGTCAATGATATTAGCTCCAGAATTCTCAATAATCTAACGTAATATGTTGTGATTTAGAATAATTTTAATTTGTATGATGCTATTAAAGTTTAGATTAAGGGAACAAAAACACAGTAACACATTATGAAGTATTGACTGATGGAAGTTCTGCTAGCAACTGACCAGAAGAGCTGGGTATGTCATGGAGCAGGAATGTCTATAGCCCACTTTCCTTGACCTGAGCCAGGCCCCTTGTTCTTTATACTAGTATTATAATAATCGTTTCCATAGAAGGGGAGGTCATTTAATTAGTTTTTTTTTCTCTTTACATTTATGTGCTGTTACTTTATACTTGTAGGTCAGGCTGTCACTGTATCAGATAAAATTATTATGATACATGGAAAATTATTTATTTTGATATTTATTGAGTGCTTGTTGCATTGGAGGGATTATGTTAACCTTTTTAAAAATAATTTTTTAAGTTGAGCAAAGTTAGGAATTAACATTTATTTATATAAAATTTTATATTTGGAAGTTGACATCCAACATGATAACATATCATGAAAAAGAGGCCACACTGGGAAACGGAAAAGGCAACAAATTTTACATGTGTTTGCTATTTGATAATAGCTGACATAATAAATAGTTTAAAATCATTGTTGGGTTTATTATTTTTAATGGCATGAAGAATAACTGCTCAAAATATCTTCATTTTCTTGTTTCAACAACGAATGGCAATATATTTTGGTATATGAGACCTAGCGCATGAGCTTCAGATCCGATTAAGTATATCAAGTTTACACAAAGCCAAATGTATGAAAGGGGATCTTTTAAAAAAAACTTTATTTGAGAAAGGAAGAGACTTATAACAGAAGGCAAGAAGGAAACATACAAACAATATATTTACAACACAAAACAAGAGATCACCTTCAAGGGTGTAAATTATAATAAATACAGTAGATTTGAAAAGAGACATTTATCAATTAATTCTAAGATGAATTAAGTCCAGCTTTCTTTTTCACTGGTTCCAGGTAGTTTCTTGATTAAATTCAAAGACTATCAAATTCAAACAATTAATGTCCACCAACTGTACTGATGAAGCTCTCTCAAATGACATTATAAAAAATAGGTTTTTTTTTTTGTTTGTGATTACATATCTTTGAAGTAATATTATACAAAAGTCTGCTCAGCCACATGTTCCTCCCCAAATAAAATGTATTTTAAAAGATGCACTATCCCTTTTTTATGAGATTGAAAAAAGACTTTAAAGAAAATGAATATTTATGAGATGGAAAAAATATACAATTTTATCTTAGGAATGCCATATTTTTAATGCAAAACAACTGACAAAAAGTCATTTTAATCTTAAGGAATATACTAACCAAAATACGGTGGTAATAGGAAAAGTTGCCCTATTATAGCTATTTGTCAAATTAACAGAAGGACTTTCATTATATGGAAAAGTTTTAAACTTTCTAACTTCTAGTTATATTAATTTAATTTGAATGGAGACTTTTTAAAAAAGGATAATGTATCTTTAGCAGTGACCTTTTTTTAAGAAATATTTTTAAATGTCACAGCAAAATGTAAACAACACGTGCCAATAACATACAGTTGTTACAATGTCTACATTTGGCAAAATCGCTATATCTCCTTTGAAACAGGATACTACACCTTAAAATACCTTGGATTTAGAAATATAAATATTTTAATAGAAAAAAACCTCACAAAGATTCTAGGTCAATTTGGATTATCCATATTAAAGGGGTCTTAATACAAGGAATCTTTAACTAGCTTAACAAAAGTAAACCTATAAAACAAGGTAAACATATCAAAAGGGAGTATGAAGGAAATGTTCCAGTGAAAAGCTTCCTTAACAATTTCCCTACTTGCAGTGTTATTTTCTTAGACAATAAATCAATTCATAGAGTGCCCTTTAAAAACAGAAAGAGTAAAACACTATCCTCCGTTTTTTTTTTTCCCCTACATTCCTCATTACATGAATCACTTGGACTTCCTGTTTCCACAAGGCATTTCCTGTTCAGCCTCATAGAATCAGTTTTCTGTAGGAGAACAGCAGGAACCTGACAAAGAACGGACTTAAATAAACAGAGTCTTCTGTTGCCTTCAAAGTTGTTTGTATTTCATAGCATCAAAGGACACAGTCCTTCTGAAGGTGCATTATATACAAGTAGATTCTGTTGTTGAGCCTAACTTTCCTAAGTTCTTATTTGCCAAAACAAGTCATTATGGAATTCTACCTAAGAGATCCTAATGATATGATTATAGAATATGATACACCTTCTTCTTTTAAACGTGATTGGGACTTTGTATCAGATAATCATCATACCATTACTGTGTTTTCTACAACTGTAGATAGCATATAGTATCTGTTTGGACCATAATGCTGCACATTACTTCTGGCCGGTATCTGCATCGGCTTCATTCGATCTTTTTCAATAGACAATGTCATCAAATAACACAAGATAAAAGTAAAAGGAGCAGTGCTAGGTGAGACATAATGTAATATTTAAAATAGTGCTGTACTTTGCAATCTATATATTTAAAACCACCTCTATTCCTAATATTTTCAATTGCAATCTATACAATAACCTAAGGACTGTTGGCGTGGTAACCAGAACATTTAACTTAACAAAAAGAGAGAGGAAGGAAGGGGCAGACTACCTTTAACAGTGTTCAAGACTGTAGTATGATACATTATGTACAACAATGTGAAAATTGAATTCTACATATCAAAAAAAAAAATCAAGAACTAATAGAATGTTTCATTGATCAGACTGGGTGACTATATCCAGCAGTCGCTGATCTCAACAGATAAACTAAAAACAACAGTGAGTTCGTTTTCCTTAGAAGTAATTGGTGTAGCAGGCTTTGGGATGAATTTAAAGCCTATTAATTACTTGTATACTTATGTAGTATAATTTTAGTGTAACAAGTATTTCCTTACCAGTGGAGTTTCAATGAAACCTTGATATCTATATAGAAATCAGTATATAGAGAAATCTCTATATAGATATATTTGCATTAAGTAGAATCCTTAACCACTAAAATCAAATCATTCAGAAATATAAACAGATAGGAAATAATATCCATTTACCAAAACCAGCAATGCATCTCATATTCAGATAATGACTTTAATTACAAATCCTGGAGCTAAATCTTTGCCTATTACCTGTTGCATAAAAGCAGCCTGCTCCCCAGATTCCATTTCCTGGATCTGAGCATCTTCATCACTGTCCACCGGCTCCTCCTTGACCTTCACTGCCCCAACTTGTCCCAGTGTGTCATCCACACAAGCACTGCTGTCGCTCCTAGTGCTGTTGCCACTAGAGGGCGCTCTGTCTTCCTGCATCGCCTGGTCCCCCTGAAGCTCTTCCTCTGCTTCCTCCAGGTGACTGCCTGGTTGCTTCAGTTGTTCAATAGATTTCGAAAGCAGCTAGAAGAGAGTGTTCAGGGGTTCAAAATTCAATAGTTTTTGGTGGTAACAGAGAAGCAAAATACACTTTTATTTCTAATGACTCTACTTCAGTACGGTTTGGTTTCTAGTTTCTGGATGTCAATTGCAGAATGAATTTGTATACCACAAACTTCTTAGTGATACCACATCTGAAGCAGTCCCATCCTTGCCGTATTGTGTTGGAGTGGGAGGCAGAGAACGGGGTCTCTGAGTGCTTTTTTTCAGGGATTACTCTTTAACGCACTCAGAAAATGGTGGGGAAAAGGTAAATAAGCGTTTTCAATGGGAACCATGGAACTTTTACAAGTAGTTTGTACTGAGACAATTTAACCCAAATAAACCTGAGAATATTTTCTCTCAAAGGAGAAAATGTAATGGAATTAATGAAAAACTTCCACAGTCTCATTTTTTGACAAATGTCAATCGCTATAAAATACGAGCACAAATGCTAAGGCCTCGCCTATCTAATTTTCCGATACCCTGAATGGTCAAATGATAAAACATCTTCTTATATATACCAGTAAAACATGGAAATATTGATTTTGAAATCCTAAACTTTAAAAAGATGTGGGATTTAAAAAAAATTGTCATAGCACTAAAAATGTTTTATGAACATATCCAAATTAAATGATAGCAAAGAAGGAATTATTTTAATTTGAAAGTTATTATTTAGACCTTTTCTTTATTTTATAAATTAAATTGGACTTTATCTTCAGAAGTATATGAATTAACTCCTCAATGATTTAAAAAAAACGAGAACAGATTTAACTTAAACAATAGCAAAATATCATGGTATAAAAGCTCAATAAATGGGGTAAAATTCTCAAGATGATTTCGTGTCGCAGCAGATCTCTTGTTTTGATTCACAATGACCCCAGTGACTGATCATCGGCAGAGCTTGAACTGTGGTTCCAAAAGCGACTGGAGTTTTCTGTTAAGTCAGTGCCCATGTAAGCAACATGCCAAATATTGTTAATGAGCAGCACACTTAGAATACAACCGCTAAAATCATGAATACCAATTTCTCTTGGTACAGTTTAAGCTTACCTCGCCCACACACCCATGTTTTTAAGACTAAACACGTGCTTAAACTTAGAATATTTAAGTACTCCAACTCTGAAGGGTGTCTTCCCCTTTTTTAGGCTTATAGACTTCCAGGTCACATAACCTCAGATGGCTGTGCATACGCTGACGAAACCCTTCAATTTCACGGTCAGTAAAATTATTGGGGGTTTTCGTTCATTTGTGCAACAAATATTTACTGAGTGTCAACTGTGTTCAAGACACCATGCTAAGCATTGGGAAAACAGCCATCACCTTGCCCTCACAGAGCTTAGAGTTTAGTGTGTTAGAAAGGAACCAAGAAGATAAATAAATTTATTCTTATTTTCAAGTATGGTAAATGAAATGGGCAGAAGCACAGGGTGTTGTAAGAGTACCCACTAGTTGGCACAGGAGTGGAACTGGGGGTGCTTAAGGGAGCTTTCACTGAGAGGGTGCTATGTTTAAGCTGAGACAAGAAAGAGGAAGGATAGAAAAGGAGGAGTCATTAGTTACATGTGTGTGAGGGGTTGAATAAGGGTAGAGAGCCTTTCTGGCCAAAGCCACAGTATATGTGCTGGGAAAGGAGTCCAGTGTGTTGGAGTACATGAAAGGCCAGTGGGGTTTGAGCACAAGAAGGTGGGGAGAATGCTAGAAGATGATGTTGGAGAGAGTGACACAGTTTATAATAGAATATGTTTGGGTTGAAAATAAGATTTTTTTTTTTAAGATTTTATTTATTTATTTGACACAGAGAGAGCACAAGCAGGGGGAGCGGCAGGCAGAGGGAGAGGGAGAAGCAGGCTCCCCGCTGAGCAGGGGAAAATAAGATTCTAAAGAAATAAAACACAATGTAGGAAAAACCATAAATCAAATGGAATCATCAATCTTAAATTAGACATAATCAAGCTAAGAGAATATGTATCAACCAAACTTTATGTCAAAATGAAGAAGGCAAATTTAAATATTAATTTCCTTTGTGCTTACAATCTAACATCTATTGTTCCTGGGCTGTGAGCATAAGAACAATCAACCCACCATGCTTTAAATGTCTCTAAGTACTTCTTAGGGAACTATTTGCAGGACTTTTGTACCAATGCTAATTAGCTCTTCGTAACATAAATACATTACACCTTGCACACTGCTGAGATTTTGGAGAAAAGAGACAATGTAATATTCCTGAACACTGCTAAGATTTTGGAGAGAAGAGACAATGTAATATTCCTGAACTTTGATTATACAACTGTAGGATCCCATTTAATTAGCTGTTGGAAAAAGAACACGTGACACCATAGAAAACAGGCAGGATTTTAATGGAAAAGTCCCAATTTGAGCTGGGACACCAGGAATAGGGACTCTGGGTGACAAGTATCCACCCATTCTCCAGAGAGAGAGCTCATCAGTCAACCCTTAACCTCTATCGCTCCCCTCAGGTGTGATGTACAAGAGCAGAACAGATTCTTGTGGGGAGAAGAGATTTATCTAAGGAAAGGCACTAGTCAGGTGAAGGAAGCTGCAAGAGCCCCTCAGAGGGATGATCTGCAAGCAGATTGCTGCAGTTCATCTTCTGGATGGATGCTTGGTGAGCTGTAGAACTTTTCCCTCTCGCTACCCAAGCTTAGCTGGAAAAATTCATGGGAGCTAGCACATCAGAGTTGGTGGGCCAAGGACACGTATGCGTCAAGCAGACACCTCTGGGAGGCGTTCAGAAGTTCCTGCACGTAAGAACCTCTGTGAGGAATAGAGAAGAAAACCATGTGGGATGTGTGGCCATGAGACAGGAACTGAGGGGCCATTCATGAAAGGTCCACCAGGGAACACGTGACCACTGTCCAGGAAATGTCACATCAAAAGTCCCTGCTTACTAAGGAATGATTCTGCAACTTCCATAGCTTCTGGAAGTTTGATATGGGGAGTATTTAATAACCAAGAGGAAAGTGCAGATACCGCCTGCTAAGTAAAAGGAAAGCCCTTAGCGGTAAAAATAGGAAACGTCTATTGCTATTCCTCTCCTTCCCAGTCCCCGTCCCAACATGGCCCCTCAGTACCTTGACTTCCTCACATCCAGTGGTCTTTTTCTCTGCTCTACCTCAGCACCCAAAGCTGTGATCATACCCTAGCCCTGGTCTTTAATGGTAGCTGTACACTTTCCTTAATTGGTTTCAAACATGACTTCCTTCTGGCTCATTCTCAGAATATTCTGACCCAACCACTCCTCAGCTCCAGAGGGTCCTCTAAGTGATTGAGCCTAACACATTTTCGCTGCCCACCACTCCCCCTCACCACCCCACCCCCCTGCACATCCCTCCTTGCTGGACTAGGCTTCATTCTCTATCATTAAAAATCACTCTCTTGGGGCGCCTGGGTGGCTCAGTCGGTTAAGCGTCTGACTCATGATTTCGGCTCAGATCATGATCTCAGGGCCCTGGGATTATGCCCCATGTGGGGCTCCACCCTTAGAGAGAATCTGCTTGAGACACTCTCTCTCCCTCTCTCCCCCTCTCCTTGCCCCCCCCTGCTCTCTCTCTCTCAAATAAAGAAGTCTTTTTTTTTTTTATTCACTCCCTTACATTGTCTTCAACTCCCCTGCCCTTTTGAATATGGGTTTTACTGGAAAAGTAAGACTTCCAACCTTGGTTAATACCACATCTCTGCCAAACCCAAGCAGCTGAATAAGCTAGGAAACAAACAAATTACAATCATGCTGAATGTTTCTCTTCAGATTCGTGAGCAAAACCCTCAAAAGGGCCCTTGGTGCTGTCTGGCAGTCCTACCACATTTCTCTAGTTAATTCACTCCCACTCTTTCACAATGACAATTTCAAACTACCTCCTCTCTCCTCCGGCCTCTAAAATCCAGACCTTTTCTTCACTCCCTGCTGATACCTGTGCTTATTATTTCACTGAGAAATAGAAGCCTCTGAAGGGAAACTCAACATCCTGCTACCATCGCATTTACCAAGCTGTCCCATTCTTCTGAACACGATGTCTATTCTTCCGAAAGTGATGTTTTCACTCTTATCTCAGGCAATCCCTCGGCTTAGGGTCTGGATCCTATCCACTCCTGTAATGATCCACTCTGTCCTCCAACACACATTTCCCCTCTCTGCTGGAATATTCGTATGTGTGCATTTTCAAAATGATAATCCATCTTAAATAAAACTTCCCTTGCTCCCCCCACCAACACCATTATGTACCTCCCTTCACAGCAAAACTCCTTGAGTTATCACTCTTTACTGTCTTCATTTCTCTTTGCCCATTCTCTTTAGAATTCATGCCAACAAGGCTTTCATCCACACTATTTGACTAAAATCTCTCCTGTTAAAGTCAGTAATGACTGCATTCATGCCAAATCCAGTGGCAATTTAATTAGGATATTAATAGGTGTCAGTGACGGTAAAGCACCTCACAAAGGGCACCAAGACACAATCATAGCATCTTTGAAAGTAAGAGACTGATATCACTGCAGCTAAAGACCAGACAAACTGTGCGCTAATTTCCTAGAATATAATTTCCCATAGATAGCAAATAGGTCCAAGAAAATCTCTAATAGTGACCAAATGCTGAGTGTTCACAGAATATATCATACGTATATTTTAACAAAACACCTTCTGAAATCTGACCTGTTAATGTATTTCTGAGGTCACAGATAGACCCAGAAATCTCATCATTTAGTTCATGAATCAGTTTTGGTCAGTATTTACAATCTCACTGACATAGATACATATATTAACAATTTTCAGTGTGCAATAAAGAAACAATGCCATTTGTTCTAGTCAGTTCCTTTGGCTTCCTCTACACTTGTGATGTAGTAAAGGAAACATGAGGGAGAAAAGTGCCAGAATGAATAACGCTATGATAACTGGGCAAGACGGCCAAATGGCAAAATGATCTTCCAAGGGCAGAATTCCTTGATGGTTTGTAAAAGAAATGTTTCTT